TATATATATATAAATATATGTATATATGTATATATATATACATATATGTATATATGTATATATATATATATTTTCTTTGTTTCATACCTTTAGCCAGTGTGATCGGTCCAAAGTAATTGTTGTCCATCAGTAATTTGTCCATTTCCAGTGACAGACTCTGTGCTGGGGCTTTGACCTTCATGCTGCTATTGAGGATTATGACATCTGGGCAGCCGTAACAGTCCAAGATCTCCTCGATCACATACGGCATACTTTCCATATCACCGAAATCCACCAGCACCAGCTTAGGGGGAAACATCTAAAGCGGAGAAACAGTAGCTTTAAGAAAGCGTGCGATAAAGCATTCTGAACAATTTATTTCTGTATTTCTGAAATACTCACAGTGGTTGGGTCGGAGGCATTTTCTAAGTCATCAGCAAGTTCTGTGAGTTTCTCCCAGTTTTTCCCACACAGGATTAACCTTGATCCTCCTTTGTGAAACACACTTGCACATTCTAAAAATAAGAAAAAAAAACGATAGGGAAATGACATGACACAAATACATTATTTTAAATTCAAAAAGGGTGTTTGACTCACAACGCGGACACTGTATTTGTGTATTACCTTTTCCAAGGCCGGATACGGCATCAGTAATAACAACCACCTTATTGCGTACCGACATTTTGGTCAAGAGACTGAGAACAAAACTGTAGAGATAGAAACATCCTGCCGTGAGTACAACAGTGCAGGGCACCAGGAGGATGGTGGTCGTCCATGTTGGATCCATCTCATGAAGAAAATGCTAAAGGAAAAAAAAAAAATTATAAATATTTTTCTAAATTGTAACTGTATAGAAAAAAAAACAATTTGTAAGGTTTTAACAAAAAATATTATAACAAAAATAGGGAGTGGTCAGTATTTTGGTACATTGGAACATTTTGGAACAACTAGAGTTGGGAACCGCTGGTCTGGTATATTGCATCTCATCTATTACTAATGGTTTTATAGTGTCTTTGAATGTCACCTATGGACCGGCACCAGCTCCCGGACCAGGGGTTGGAAACCGCTGGTTTAGTATATTGCATAGTAGAAAAAGCATCTACACATCTCATCTATTACTATTGGTTTTATAGCACCTTTGAAAGTCATCAGGTCGAGAATTAAAGTAGCGACCAGTAACGACTGAATACTGTAAATGCAAATTATAATTCAAAAATCACTATCATCTTCTACAGTCTCTGTCGATAACCCTAGGACTGACCATAAACAAAGTGTACTCACAAAACTTTTTTTTTCGTTTTGGTTTAGAATTACCAACAGGCCACCACCAGCTGTTGGTCCAAGCGAGGGCCTCTAAATTTAAACTGTCCTAGAAATAGATAGCATGGCTCTCACAAACACTGTATCATGACAGTATTGAGTATTAGTCACATAAACAAAACCACAACCAAAAGATACAGTTAAAAGCATATTTCCATCAGAGAAAAATAAGATTATTTAAAATGACTCAAATCTGTTTAAAGGATCTGAGCAATTCGACGATGCAAGGATTGCCTTTGCGACCAGCACTTACTGCTCGGTGATATTCCTACAAGGGAAAAATTGATGATTTCCGTCCTCAGAGGTTCGAGCTGCAGCCGAAGCTGAGACTAGAAGAACTTTCCTCAGCACTTTTTTTTTTTTTTTTCAACCAGCCCCCATTTGTCAGAAACCTTGAGATTCGTTCAAGCCACTTCTTGCTCTCGCTGTTCACTATTTTCAGTTGTCATAACACATCCTCAGGGCAGCGGTTGGTTGCGCCCAGCTTGAACCTGTTGCTCAGACGGGGAGAGAAGCAGAGCCCACGAAGAGTAAGGCCTCCTTCAAATCATTTCTCAGCACCATCTTCTCTCCCTCCTGAGGTCGTGGGGTTCTCGCCGTCTGTCCTTTATCTTTCAGCCCTCAGGAAAGGATGATATGAGCTTACTGGTTGTCCTCCACACCTGAGCACCAGGGGCACAAACTGGAATCTAGGCTCCCAGGTGTGGAGTCCAATCACGGAACCAACCCACGTTTTTATTTTTTTTTAACCTAGCACTTTTTATTATTTGCTTTGTAGAAGCAGTCAGCACTTTTTAAAAAAGCTGCTCAAAAATTAGCAAAACATTTGGTATCAAGAAAAACATAATAAATAACACAACAAATATTGGTGCCTGTATTATTTTAAGAACAAGCCCAAAAAATGTAACTCAGAATGGCTTTAAATTATATAATAATTTAATTAAATATTATATATATAATATGATATTGATTTATAGAAAGCTAAGGATATGGATTTATTTTTCAAGGTTAGCACCGGAAGTAGTGTGGTTAACACGAGCGTACGTTGACGTAGGGATAATTCCGAGGGAGGGGGGGGACGTTCCATGACAGCGGGTTTCGTGGACACTTCTTATCCACTACGTCACTCCGCACCTTCTGTATTTTTGATACAAGTAGCCTGCTGCAAAATGTCGGATTTTGATGAATTTGAGAAACAGTTGAGCGAGAATCGACAAGGTGAGTATGCAGTGCTCGCTCTCCTTCTGCTCCGCTTTACTCCTCAAATGGACTGGCGGTGGTGGGCGGTAACGGTCCCCCCCCGAGTCCGTCGTAGATTTTATGAATAACCAGAGTGAGCTGACAACAGCTAAGACGTGACTCGGCTCTTTTCTTTCTTACATACAGTACACTGTTCGCTTCCCTGGTTCCTCGCATTTGCTAAAAAAATGTTCGGATGCTAGCTGGATAAACACAAAAACGTCGTTTTATTTTTTAGTTTATTGCTCGCCAAACAAATTGCTCTCACCGTAGTTTGGTTTAATATGTATTTTAAATCATAAATATTTTAATCATTCTGTGCTCATTATTTGAAGAAAAGTATTTTTTTAAAGAATAGAATAATTCTTCTTAAGCACCCGTGGTTGTAATTATTACTTATCAATTAATGTCAATCGATAATATGGAGGGAGTTTTCTCAAAAAATAGTGCCATAAAATAGTTGTAATATTTCAAATAATTCTCACTTGTTATTTTAGTTTTTAGTTTTAAGTTTTAAGACTTTTTCCATTTAATTGTCAGCAGTTTTTAGTTTTAAGTTTAAGTTTAAGACTTTTTCCATTTAATTGTCAGGTAACAGATTAAATATAAAAAAAAGTCAGTTTGGTCATTTATCAAATGTCAGAAACAACCTTGGAATAATTCATGAAGTCCAACTAACTGTTGAAAAGAAAAATCAGAGGATCAGAGGAGCTTGGTAAACAGATCCGAAAGGAACAAAATAGAGTATTATATATTATTTTTAACCATCAAGTTTAAGCTAAAGTCAATATGATGGATGCTAACACCCTTGCATTAAAGTACACAAAGCCAAAACAACCATCACTTATGTGTAACCTAAGGCAAATTTCAGCACAGTCCAAAGCTTGTTTTCTCAATTTGATTATGTTGCCCCTAGCGGCTAAAGATAAGCTAACTCTAAATCGAGCGGCTTTTCTTGTGGAGTTATGTCTTGTTATAACTTAGGAATAGTGAATAAGACATGCTAATGTTGTTTTTTTGTTTTTTTATTTATTTTACCATCTCGGAGAGCGGGAAAGGGAGCAACATAAAAAAAGGAGTCGCAGTGGCTCTGTGGGCCAGGGAGACAAACACTGCATCTGGAGCAAAAGCAGAGGAAGCCAAAGCCGAGAGAAACGAAGTCGCAGCACAGACAGAAAAAGCTGGGATCGCAGGAGCTCATCTCACAAGAAACGCAGGTTAGTCACCTTAGCTGAGGCATCGCGATGCTTAAAGGCGGGTAATGATCCTGGAAACGCTACGTTTGGAGACATTGTAAGGTCCCTTATGGGTACTTTCACTTGCTTTTAATTGGAAATCCCTTCCAGCGTAACTCGATTTTCACTGTGAGTTGAAACTCGCATAAACAGTGGTAACTTCATAATATTAGATGCTCGCATACTGCACATAAGTACCTGTGACACTCATCCACATTAAAACAGTGGTAACTTCATAATATTAGATATTTATTATTATTTATTCATATTTAATGAAATATACTTTAACTAAAAATATCCCGAACATAAAGTGTTAGTGTATAAAAATATTTTTTTTATTTTATTTTAAATTCACCAAGCGGCCCAGATTGAACACCCAGGCGGGCCGTTTTTGGCCCTCGGGCCGTATGTTTGACACCCCTGATCTAGGACATAAACCATCAGGGAAGAGAAACTTAAACAACACCTTATTCCACGTATGTCCCCTGATTGATTTAACGCCGATGACGGAACAAGATTTTCCTTCTGTACTTTTTGATCATTTTGAGTAATTTTTTTCTATGTTTTGGTTCATGTCAGTTGTTGTATTGTTTGGATTTTTTCTGTTCCTAAAATATCAATCTTACTGTCTGTGTTCTGGGTCCAGTCGTTCTCCGAGGCATGTTAAAAAGAAAAGAACCCTGAAATACTGGGACATTCCTCCACAAGGCTTTGAACATATAACACCAATGCAATATAAAGCTATGCAAGGTACTTCTCGTCTTTTTCAAAAGCTTGCTCAGCCACAGTTTTCAGTGCCTAGTCGCTAGTACTTCTGAAGTTAGTTTGTGTAAACAAACATGACATGACCTCATGTACTCTGTTTGCATATATATTTGCTTCAGCGGCGGGACAGATTCCAACGATAGCTCTGCTTGCCACCTCCACTGCCGGGGTGGCTGCGGCTCTGACTCAAGCGCCCATAGCTGGCAGCCAGATGACCAGACAGGCCAGACGCCTGTATGTGGGCAATATCCCATTTGGAGTCACTGAGGCAAGTAGCTTCTGTCAAGCTAGGTTTTATGTTACAATTGTTCTTAACTCAACTTAAAAATCTGTTGTCCCTTTACACCAGTGGTTCTCAATTTAATTTCCATCATGCCCCCCCCCTTGAATACAGAAATGTATTCACGCCCCCCCCCCCACCAATTTTGATACTATTGAGAACCTGATAAAATGTCCTAAATTTTGATCTGTACAAACCAATGTTTGATTTGCTGCCACCTAGTGACCGGAGGCTTGTTGTCATTCAAACATTACAGCAGTGGTACACTTATGTCTAGCATGCCATATTCCATTGGAAGCCCCTTACCGCACCCCCCAACCCCCGTCCCCCAGGGGGGCCTCCCCCACTATTTGAGAACCGCTGCTTTACACTATACTGTAATGTACTCTGCTAAGCTTTACACTAGCCTACTGAGTTTTATTAAAGTTCTACAGTGTAGTACTGTAAATTGATCTACTCTACTCTTTGATAACAATGCATTAATGCCTTGTTTCCCAAAGACTGGTTCACGACCTTCAGGTGGGTCGCAAGAGATTTTTTTTTTTTTTGGGGGGGGGTCGTCCCATTCCTATTTTCCATCAGAGACGTATTCCATCCTGAATGACAAGACAAAACAAGGATCCAAAATCCCTTTGAATTTGAGAGTCCGAAATCTGTGCTTGAGGTGACGCTTAGTCCTGCAGAAGAAGCGGTCGAAACACGTAGTATCCGAGTACGCGACATCAACTGCTATCGATGTACGCAGGCATTTTTTTTCCCCCCCCAAAACTGAGGTAAACGTCTCAGGACCCCACAGGTGATTTCAACATATTTGGCGAAACCCAAAGATTGCATTATCGGAGTAAAACCGACAACGATTCTCACAGATAATTATGCTAATATCGGGTCAATAATATTGGTTTACCCACTTCTGCTCTAACCTTGACTTTTGTCCGTTACCCAGTTCTGCTCTAACCTTGACTTTTGTCCGTGGCATGTGTTTACTACAGGAGTCCATGGCCGAGTTTTTTAACGCTCAGATGCAGCTCGCAGGCCTTTCCCAAGCGCCAAGCAATCCCGTCCTCGCTGTGCAGATCAATCAAGATAAAAACTTTGCTTTTCTCGAGGTCAGCGTATTATATATATTAAAGAAGTGCAACGCCTTTCTGTTTTAGTTCTGTCTTTCGTTAAAACTCTCTGTCCCCGCTCTCTTAGTTCCGGTCTGTAGAGGAGACAACCCAGGCAATGGCTTTTGATGGAATTATTTTCCAAGGCCAGTCACTAAAGATCAGACGACCTCACGATTATCGGCCCTTACCTGGGATTTCAGAGCAGCCGGCTTTCCACGTCCCAGGTTGTTCTAAATGATTTATTCATGCAGTATTCAGTGTCTACCATCCTTTTTGAACAACAGAATCATGTTTCCATACCACCAGACCATAATGTCACACACACACATAGTTGCACACACACTTACAGTACACTACAATTGAAGAAATACATAAAGATCTTTCAGTAGCTAAGTCGTTATTATTTCATTTCTTTAGCTCTTTGCTGCCACCTTGTGGAAGTGTATTTGTAATTGGTGTGCCTGTTAACTTGGAGCATGGACCAATGATTCTAAACCAGAGGGCCGTGGCCCAAACCTGGGCTGCCAGCGCCATCTATGGGGCCGCAAAAAAAACGTTCAGTTTACAGAGTACAGTGCAGCTTTTTGACCACATGATGGCGGTAGTGACCCAATCTCATGGTGAACAGAACGTTGGAAATAAATGCTATTTATCTAAACACGTTTTGCTATTATCTATGGTTTAAACTCTTTTTTTTTTTTTCCCCCCTCCGGCGTAGGTGTTGTTTCCACTGTTGTTCCCGATTCGCCGCATAAACTGTTCATCGGAGGTCTTCCAAATTATCTCAACGATGACCAGGTATTACTGGTACTACTAGACACCGCAGTCCACAGTCAACAGAAAACACCTTTCTTTTTCTGGCTAAAAGTTAAAAGAAAAAAAGTGCGAGCAATTTTTTTTTTTTTTTTACGTAAAAAAAAACCGAATAATTCAGAAATATGTACATTTTTAGAGTCCTCACATATAATAGTTTTGACTGTTGATTTTAAAGCGCACACAATCGATACAGTATTGATTACATTATTAATACTCTATTATTAGTAGTAGTAGTAGTACAGACAAATGAAAATTATTATTAGTAGTAGTAGTACAGACAAATGAAAACTTTACCAATATACTAACCTTAAGCAAAGACAGAAAAAATTAAATAGATATTTTTGGTATTGCCTTATCTATATGTGGTGATTTAGATGCTCTGAATTGTTATTGCATTTTTAAAAAAAAAAAAAATAATAATGATACTGTGTTTCTAACGTGAAGATTTTCTTTGAAAAAACAAAAACACATTTTTACCGGTGAAATCTTTGCAGATGAAATAGTCTTCCAGCAGGCTTTCATCTTTGCTTGCAGGGAATTTGATTCTAACTGTCCATTCTGTGTCAGTAGTTTACACAAAAGTATGTAGCGTGGTGTATATCTTCTGATTTTAACTTCTTTGAATACTTCCACTGCGTTGATACTCACAGCTCTTTCATTTCTGTTCCCCCCACTTTGTCCCCAGCTAGGGGCCCGTAAGATCGTTAAGTCTGCGCTCATAATTTGTTCAGTAGTACTCATCCACTGCTGCCATGCCAACATGTAACACAAGGCAAGTAAGACATTCTGGTCCTCACACGGATTGACTGCAGTCCCCCCCGGGCTCCATGACTGGCTGCTTTCTTTGCTACTGTCACGCTCTTGGAGCTGGGATTACTTTGGCTCAGAGTTAGAAATGAAGACGGGAAACCCTTGTCACCTTATTTCAGTGCTCAAATTTTGTTCGTAAAAAAAACATATTGAGACGAGTCTCTCGGGCTACTCCAAACAGCTTTGAGCTTTGAAGTTTTATCATTACATCTTGATTTTTTTTATATGATCAGATGTTTCTGGCAATTTTCAGAAAAGTCATTTTTACCTCAAACTCAAATGTAAATATGTAAAATTGTTGAAACTGTGCAATATAAATATAAAAAAAAAAAAACATGCAGAAATAGACACCGGAATAATTGTAGAACAATATAAGAATAGCAGCACACAACATTGTTACTGCTACAGTATAGCACCATCATCTCTATGGTCTGTATATAATATAATATATATATATATTTATATATATATATATATATTTATAAATATATATATATATAATATATATAAACAGTTTCATCAAGCTGTAATAGCATATAAAATATATTATATTGCAATTGTGTATTATATTGCCATATATAACTTCATATATATATATACCCGTGTGTAGCAAAGCATTACTATACGGAAATTACAGTTTCTGCGTATTCCTTTTGTCAACAATAGGTTGAAGGTTGAAAAAGGTTCAAATGAATACCCAAACTACAGATCGAATTTCTTAATTACAATATCAAAGGTGAACCAGCACTAAACTGGTGTTTAGTACCACTTTTGATGAGCAAGAATGCCAGATATCAATATGGTCTGGAATGTTCATATATCCTACGTTTGAAACTTTGCACTTGTGGGGATGCGGCGTTTATGAGACAGGATGCTAATAGGTGGGGATTTTTATTAAAGTTTTTTTTTTTGAAGGATTACCCCGTGTTTTCTTGTAAGACATTTAAACAAATGACCCCTTTAAAACAGTTCATTAATATTTAAAAATGAGTAGTCGTAAAGTCTGATTTAATGTCCCTTTATGTCCAGCTCACCATAAGTTGCCAGACTAATTATTTGTCCATACGAGCAAAACTATGAACTGATGAAGATTAGTTGAAAATTAGATTTTTTTTTCTCCAAACTTTCTGAATCAGTAAATAATAAATGTGATTTTTTTTTTTTTTGCCATGTATCGTATATTCCGGACTATAAGGCGCTCTGGAGTATAAGTCGCGCTAGCAAAAGGATGGGAAAAAAAGTGCGACTTACAGGAGTAGAAGATATCGGTGTGAAAATAACAAACGTGAAATTGTACACGTTAACAAATAAAAAGTTGACCTAAGTAAGTCAACTAAGTCATAAGTGCGACTTATAGTCCAGAAAATACTGTACATTGTTTGCTACAGATAAATCATCTCCCTTTTTAAAGTAAAAACAAAGAATCCCCCAAAAACCAGGGGTTGTTCCTACAAATTCTTCTTGTTTATGACCAGGTAACATCAAATAATTACTTGATTGCTAATAGTTTGCTAAAGTCTTTGATTTTTTTGGGGGGGAGTACCACCAGCTCTAGGGAAAAGTCATTGGCAACTCAAACTTAAACCTTTAGAATTATAACTGTCCTCAGTACAGGTTAAATTTAAGCCGATTGCCTTTGATCCAAATGTTGAGTATTTGAATAATGGACATTTAGAATTCACTCTGTAGAAATTAAAAACAAAAAAAAAAACACGAAGGTTTGAATTCTGATTCTAATGTCTCGCGGTCCAAACTTTTGTTGTGCAGGTGAAAGAGCTCCTGACCTCGTTTGGGCCGCTCAAAGCCTTCAACCTGGTTAAGGACAGTGCTACGTCGTTGTCCAAGGGTTACGCTTTTTGTGAGTATGTGGACATCAGCGCCACTGATCAGGTATTGACAACAATGTTGGGCATGTTCATTGTGTTGACCAAGTAAACCCGAGGTTCCTAACCACTGGGCCCTGTATTTGTATTGGTCTGCAAAAAAAAAAAGCTTTTTGAGTTTTTTTTTTTATTTATCCCTCACGCAGATATTTGTCAAAATGAATTTTCCGAGAGCGTCCAGAAACAATAGAATACTGTAGTTACAGTGCTACCTGTTGCAAAGCATTCCATTTATTTATCCCTCCTGCAGATATTTGTCAAAATGAATTTAAAAAGGTGAAAATGCCCAGAGAGAACATCAAAAATGAGCCTTCAGCTTCCAGAAACAATAGAATACTGTAGCTACAGTGCTACCTGTTGCAAAGCATTCCCTCCTGTAACTTTTTTGGACATTGTTAAGGTGCATCAGAACGAGAAAAAAAAAAAGGGGAATCTTGTGAAATTAAACTTTCGCATTGGATTCAGAGATGAACTCAGTCTTTCTGGCTTATCGCAATGTTCTTATACATTTTACGAATTAATGGTCTATGTCCGGGGGACGGATGCGGCCCATTCATCTTTTTAATCCGACCCGCCAAACATTTCCAAATTCCATAAATTATTCATATTATCATTATACTTCTGCCTTTTCCCTGCAATACCCATGTTTCCCCAATAGATGGCGTAGAAAATGATAAAAGCATTTTTGCATTTTAGCCTCTATGCATGACTTTTACATATCATTTATCTTAGTTCACACAAACACTTTATCTAACTGCTCCTGACAAATTTTGGGACCCACTGGCAAAACGCGGGCCCGCGGGTCAAAAAAAAAAATGTGGTTGCTTCTGAACATGGGTTTAATATTAAGTTGCTGCTCATGGGTTCTTTCTTTTTTTTGTTGTTGTTGTTGTCTGCTACCAACCAGGCTGTCGCTGGACTCAACGGGATGCAACTTGGAGACAAAAAGTTGATCGTTCAGAGAGCAAGTGTAGGAGCTAAAAATGGCAATCCTGTGAGTTGTTGTTATTCTTTTACATTCCATATTCTGTAAAGTAGAATAGCCACCAACATTTGTATTCTGACAGTAAGAGACAGTAAGGCTCGTAAGTTCCCGATATCCAAACTTAGACATGGCAGTAAACGTTAACTTGGCCTCATCAGTGTGCACATAGCAAATCTGTATGCATTTCTGGAAATTCTGGAAAGAAAAATAAAGCTAGGTCTATTGATACGTGAATTGATTGATTGCTTTTACGTCAATCAAAACAAAGGATTTTTCAAGTGCCAGTCTCACTAAATAACATATGAGTTTCTTAATGGAAGTAGCAACTTCTTTATGTTAATTAGGAGTATATAACTCGTAATAACTCTTAATAACTATCTCTATGAACTTATGTATAGTTTATATATATATATATATATATATATATATATATATATATATATATATATATATATATATATATATATATATATATATATATATATATATATATATATATATATATATATATATATATATATATATATATATATATGCACACACACAAATCGAAATCGAAATATATCAATGGTTTCAGCAAGATATAATAGCATAGGTAAACGGTTAAAAAAGGTTAAGCAAATCTATCAATGAATGATTACAATTAAAAATTACGATATTTTTTCAAACTTTCTGAATCAATATATAAATATATTTTTGCCATGTACCGCATGTTCAAGACTATAAGTCCTATAAGCACCCGAGTATAAGTCGCAAAGCTAGCCATAGGATGAAAAAACTGCAACTTAATTATATAGCTAATATAATTATGCGCTAATTATATAGTAATTGTTAAACTATTTGATTTGATTCATTGAAACTTTGAATTTTAAAGCGGACTAACTTCTTAAATCTAACTTGGTCTAAATTGCAGACCCCTATCTTAGAGACACCCGTGACACTGCAGGTCCCAGGGCTTCAGAGGCTGCAGAACTGCTGCATGCCCACAGAAGTGCTCTGCCTTCTTAACATGGTGATGCCCGAGGAGCTAGTGGACGACCAGGACTACGAGGAGATCCTGGAGGACATCCGTGAAGAGTGCTGCAAGTATGGCAGTGTCTGCTCCATGGAGATCCCCCGGCCGGTTGAGGGTGTGGAAGTCCCTGGTTGCGGAAAGGTAACTGAGCACTTTTGTTTAATACCTTTTACTTCAGATATATTAAGATATGAATACTCGATACTAAACGTTGATACGACTGATATTTGTTTGATTGATTTGATAGATCTTTGTGGAGTACGTCTCTGCTGCGGAGTGTCAAAAAGCTATGCAGGCGCTGACTGGCCGCAAGTTTGCCAACAGAGTGGTGGTCACCAAATACTACGACCCGGACATGTATCACAGACACGAGTTTTGAAGCACAGAGCAGTCTGTTGTGAATTGTCTTTTTTTGTTGTTGTCTTGCTCTCCTACTTGTACTGCTGTAGACGTGGTTGATTCGGTCGGTTCATAACCTCTTGTGAATGTTGTAAACATGTATTTAGAAACCGGATTTGGATTTCTTCTTTTACACTTTTACAAACTCGAACCACAGTGTGTATTCTTTCGGTATCTAACAGTCTGCCTCGAGGATTCAAGGGTTTGAATCCTTGAACTATTCTATTTACTCAGATATTACAAAGGAAAATGTTCCAGTACTTTTATTTTTGCAGTATGATATACGTACGTGGTGTGTTTTCAGTCTGAATAAAGCCATTATACCAGTACAACAGTTTTCATTAAACCACCTCTTCCTGCTCACAGTGTGTGCCTTTGTGTCTAGTTTAAACTAGTTTCAAAATGTTATAACCGGTTTACTCACCAAAAAAAAATTAACAAAAATACCTGGACCTTTTATGTATTCCATTGGTCAAAAAAAATGTCTATGATCTGCAAAATGTATTTAAAACATGTACAAAACTATTTTGTTTTGCTAAACTTTTTCCGAAAATGTTAAATTCTGTATAGACTGTTTAACCAAACGATATATAAAAGTATCTTTGTGCAAGTAGTTTCTTTACTTAGGTTCTTACTTCTGCTGCGGAATTCCATGCCAGTTTGATTCCAACTAGCAACGTTGCCAATGCTATAATCTGTGAAATGCTAACAGACCATAACTTCTTGTTTTTGTTGAAGTGACATGTTTCGTCCGTTAGACGTAAACGGTAAGTTTATGAAAAATAATCTGTAAAAGACCATAACATACTATCTAAATCTGGCTGCTTACTCTGGAGGCTAAAGCTAAATACAGACTACATTAGAAGCAGCACTGATGGCTAGCTGTGTAGCATCTGTCCAAAATATGTACAAATTGTTGATCCAGGATGCCATTAGCATTAACACTAGCAACCAGGCACAGCAGGTATTCCAAAATGAGAAACAACAAAAACCAAAACAGGTATTCTTACCAAAGTTAATTAAACCTATAAATAAATAACATAATACAATTATTATACAAGTATATTAAAAATAAAGCAAACAAAATTGCATTTTTTAAAAATTACAAATTAAACTTAATGAACCTAAATAATTTCACAAATCATTATATGAATTTCTACTTCCTACTATAGGTATAAAGAGAAAGCACAATTTGTATCAGTATCAAAGCATTAAATAAGCTGATATTTCAAGCAAAGGTAATGTAATATGGATGACACCTTTATGGATGCTTGTAAGAGTTATATCAATATTTTACACTTGAAAGTCTGCAAAACAATGCGAATGTTTTGTTAGTTTAATTATTTATTTCTATTAAATTTGTATCTTGTAGTTTTATTATTTGTACAATAAGTTAGTAGTTATTTTATAGTAGTTATTTTAAGTATATTAATACTTATACTTATACTGAAAAGTGAAACAGTGAAAAATACGGAAAGTTACTTCCGTAAAGCTTTATTTTGAAAACTTCCTGTTCTCATACGGTGTCATCGTGTTCTACATACATAGCTTGACTTACCAAATATTAGCTTTTAAATCGCCTCAATAATAAGGCTGTTCCGCTCACCAACGCCAATGTTACTTCACAAATGTTTTTCCGGTCTTATTGCGTCAGTTCTTGTAAGCTAAGCTAAATCAGCTATTATGGAACTGGTTGATAATGAAAGTAGGCCATAGCCGTCGCCCCTGCAGCTTGTTTACGTCCAAGTACCGGTGACTGTGACGATGGAGAGCCCGGATTGGTGTGTTAGCTGATTCCGCTAACCTAACTCCTCTAGCGGGTACAAACATCTTGACGCCCTGGAAGGTGCGTCTGAACAGCTGCCAGCCGAACGGTAATAAAAAAATGCTGCTGTTTCCCATTTTAAAGTCACCAAGTATAGATATTTATCATTCGAATATGTGTTTCATTGTACATATACATTTTGAGCCTTTTCATGAATCATTTATTGAAACCTGAGCTGGCCTACCTGTTCCATTGTTGACATTTAACTGAACAGTAGAAGACGTTTAATCTTTAGTTAATTACCTCTCTGTCGACGGAAATTCAAACAATAATGACGTTTTCATAGAAAAAATTGCCTTTGGGGTTATCTATTGGATATTTCATGACTGTAGACAAAACGGCAGTATATTAGTATTATTGTTTACTAAGCAGTAAAACGCTGCGATAGTCTTTATTAGGGCATTTATAATGAACGTATTTTTTTTTAAAAAGTTAAAACAAATAATTTGTACTCTTTGCTGCCTATAGGTTATTTTGTAATAGGTGATGCGGGCAAATGTTAAGACCAAGAAAGAAAAAAAACTAATAGGAGATTTATAGTGTTTTAACAAGGCAGATAAAATATCACATGATTTCCAAGAACCCATTTTATCAATTTTATAGTAACAGTATTTCTTGTGTGTTTCAATACTGGAGCTGTCCTCGGGATTCATCTCTCATGGCTATTGACTTGTCAAAGAATTACAAACACCTGACGTCCAGCCCCACCGAATCCATGGAATTTGCTAAGAAGCCAGAGTGGTACCACCGACGTCCCATAAGTTGCAGCAACAGCGTCACCCCCTCCTTCAGAGCCAGAGCCCCGTTGTCATCCTTCAACCCTGGAGAACATGTCCACTGCAAAGACATACCTCAGGGTCAAGAACCATTAAGTAGTTACATGACTTCACCAATAGTTCCAGGTCTGGACCTGTACTGCGACAGAGTTCATCGAAACCTGTGGCGTGAAAGTTTTTACAACCCTGTCCAGGTTGATGACCCAGATCCCGAAAGCAGCGGCGGGGAAGAGAGTGACAGCGGCACCGATGTTATTTTCCTTGTTTCTTCGGCAAAGGACTCCCTCTCATCCAGTCCTCGCAGCCCGTTCATCCAGGGTAGCATTGTTGAACCTCTGTCACCTGCAGCGTCATCACTAGAAGAGGAGGGCGGCTGCTGTCACCTATCCCAGCCCTTGAGTTCACCGAGTCCCGACAGTTCTTACTCCGAAGACTCGTCAGACAGCTCGGTCAACATCCCCGTTCATCACAACAGGCCCGTCGTCCTCCTTTCGGACATTTACAGCCACGCGGCTGAATCTCCCGTAAACGTTTCAAGTGACGACAGCGACGTTTTCGAGGTGTCCGTAACCGGTGACGGGAAGGAATGCCACACCATGTCCACCAGGAAACAACTGCCTCAGGACGAGAGGCCGAGGTTTCACCCGAGGGAAGTTCGGCGAAGTGCCCGAATCACGAAACCTGCGGTGCACGCAACGCAGTTGACCTGTGAAGCGCCTCGTTACAGCCTAAGGAAACAAGTCCGAAACATCGCCGTCGGCATCTACAATGAGAGCTGCGATTCTGACGACATGTTGCAGTACGTAGCGAGGTTGTCCACTCAAGAGGCGGCGAAGATGTCCTTACAACCAAATGACTCTCAGGGAGATAGTAGTCGGCCGGAAGAATCAAACGTTGAAATTACGAATGAGAGGAATTCCACGTTGAGGACGCAGCAGCACCAGCCGCCGCCGCTGTGCTGTGACGTATCGGACTCGGATTGTAAAAGCAAGCAACAAAAGCCAAGCACGCTTCACAAATCAGATAAGCTAGGACAAATCAAACGCAAACAAAAACACGCAGTCGCGTCACAAAACAACGGGGAGACAAAGAAGAAAACAGTCGCAAGGCGGAAGAAAAGAAGTCGGACTCGACAGTGTGACCCATTCTCTCGCGCCGAACCCGAAATCACGCTGAAATTTGCGAAGATAAAGGCTAAGAAGAAAATTTGGAAATGTGACCATTTCTGCCCCTTTGTACACATGGAGCACAGGAAGTGCACTGTCGTCAACTTTCAGGAGGAGGTAAATGTGACGAGAAACCACGGAGGAGGAGGAGGAGGAGGAGGAGGAGAGAGACGACGACTTAACACGAGCTCTCTGCCAGGATTCGTTCCCAGCACGTCCTGTTTTCAGCTGGGTCGGGTATGTTTGGAAAACAGGGTCCAGGACCCACTCTTCTGTAGCCTGTGTGGTCACACGGCCAATGCCATGGGACTCGGAGACCTTCATGGCCCGTACCTCCCAAGCGGTCCGTCCGTTAAGGTAGACAAGAACTGTGCGACCGTAGAAGCAGGAGACGACGACTTCCACAGACTCACCAATTCTGTAAGTTCCTCAGAAAACAGATGTTGCGGACACGAGCGCTCTCCCGTTGTCAGACACATACCCGACTGCAACGCCAGCCCTCTACCCAAAGGGAACGTGCAAGTGAATGAGTCCTGGATCCATGAGGACTGCGGCATCTGGTCTGCCGGCGTTTTCCTTGTCAAAGGAAAGCTATACGGGTTACAGGAGGCAGCCCAGCTCGCACGACAAACTGTGAGTGAGGCGTCTGAGAACGACTGTAAAAATTTTTTCTTATATATATGGTGACATTTATTTACTGCTAATATTTTGTCTTGGTTTACGACGGCGACATGCAGAACAATTAGATGCTCTTCCACTAGATGGCAACAGATGGCTGCAAAAATTTAAAAAAAAAAAAGAAAAAAAAAGGAGTCATAAAAAGTCATAGAGCTGTTACAGAAAATCTGCGTGTTTTCTTTAATTCCCACCTGTATATCAGAGTTTTGTTCAACTAACTTGGTTTCATGCTGAGTAAGTATATGAGTGAGTACGCGGAAATTAATCATCGTACACATTTACATTTACATTTGTGCATAAAGAAAAGCTACTCTTGGAATACAGTGGTCTCTCAATATCGCAGGTTTTTTTTTTATTCCAATCTCGTGTTATTTATGATAAATATTTACAATATTTTTGTGATAAAAAAACATTTTTTCTACCCTAAAAAAAAAAAAAAAGAAAAAGACATCACTGGTAGCTTTGTTTACCTAGAGATTGAACA